AGCTGTAGAACATGCATCAGATGAGCGAATTCTGATACTAGGAGTCGGTAATAGTTTAGTACATCCTTGTGCAGGGTTTACACTCACATACACTTATACTCTTCAACTATTCTCCTTTTTTGTAGCTACATATTTTTCTCCTTTTCCCTTCCAACATAACCTACCTTGAGCTACTCTAATCCATTTGGGTACTGCTAAACCCTGTATCTCACTGCACCATCTCGTCTTCTATCTTCCCAGGCTTCTTTTTTTGGCATGTTGTACCGACGACGTGATCTCCCTACTTCCATTTTAGTTTCTTGGCCTGAATTACCTTGGCTTGAATTCATTTCATCTTTTTTCTTATAATTTCTTTCCTTATTTGGTAATTAATTTTACATTGTCGACATACTAGTTACAAGCTATACGTTTGCTTAATTCAGGCCTACTCCGACGAGCGAAAAATACTGCAGTCACGCCCCTTCATTACGTGCATTTATTTTAGTACGCAGAGATCGTTTCGATTTCTTTTGCGTCGACAGGCGATACACAGAACGCGGACAAGTACCTGTCCCGGTACATCGAGGTGACCTCCGACTACAAGCAGCACCAGGGCTCGGGCGCCGACGAGTTCTTCGTGGGGCGCGCCGGGTACCTGTCCGGGGCGCTGTGGCTGGACCGGCAGCTGGGCGAGGGCGCGTACCCGCAAAGCGTCATGAAGGACATGTGCGACTCCATGGTGCTGTCCGGGCGGGAGTACGCGTACCGGCACAACAGCCCTTGCCCGCTCATGTACGTGTACGGGGAGCGGGAGTATCTAGGTGAGCCAATTTACTTTCTCGGTACGGAGTAGTTACGGAGAAAGTTATGGCGTGAAGGCTGCGTGAAAAAATGGCAAATTTTTGGCAGAAAAACCCTTATTACATTGCCCTGGTAACAAAAAAGTGGGCGAAACTAGTTGCTAATTTTTGAAAAAATAATTCTCTAACATGTAATGTAGCCTGAATCATTTTTTTCTAGGTTCTTACTACCGGAAAATTGAATGACGGCAAAACGTATGCCTGTCCGCCAGTCCTTCCGTCTGTGAACAATGCTAGCGGCTAAACCGTTCAGTCGACTTTTTCCAAAATTTAATATTTCTCAATCGATCTAGCTGATGTCCCTGATCCTTGAATTTGAAGTCGGTATTTTAATTTTGGGGGCGACTTTACGAGAAGTCTCCTGAAAGTTTATTTTTGTTGAAAATGGCGCCATCGATTTTCATTAAATTATTTTGTTGAATTGTGTAAAGAAAGTTTAAGAAAATTGTGCAGGTGTCATGTTCGTTAAAAACCTGGATTTTTCAAAAACTGCTAGTGTTCAAAACTTTTCGGAGTTATCCTACAACTAAATTTTTGAAAATATAGAATTTTTCTTAAAGAAATCTGTTCCTCAAAGACAGATTGTGAAATAAGGTCACATACAATTTTTCGAAATTTTGAGTACATTGTGCGAAATCTTGAATGAAAATATGGGGGAGAAATTAGGTGCTCTTTTCGAACCACTAGTTTATATTTAAGTTATATCCTCTTGTTTAATTTTCCTTCCTCCCTGTTCTTGAATTATTGAAACATCTTCTGTATGTTCTGCTGAAATAGCACAGTGACAGCACTCCTTACCGCTGAAGAATCTCCGACCGGAGGGTCCAAAGTTTCAAATCACGCCCATGAGGAATTTTCTACACTGGCTTCTTAGCTCGGTCGAATTCAACCTGTGTAGAAGTGGCTGTTTGCTTTGATATGGCAGTTTTCCAAACAGTGGACCCCGACATAGTACATTTAACACCCATGAGCGGAGACCAGAAATGAATTTAGATCTTTGCTGGAGGAGATACCTGGAAGGGAAAACCCTGCAAGACGAGGTGTAGGAAGTCATTGGATATCTATGAACGCGGAATCTCTGGAAGGCACTGGGAACACACGGTAGGCAAAAATTCCCGACGCCGTTGTGAAGGTTGGCGCCGGATCTCACGTACTAGCGGGGAAGGAACGCCCTCACCTCGTTGGATAAAACGTGCACAACACTTTGAAGATCTATGTAGTTGACGCGCTCTTAAACACTATATAATCAATTAATCACCCAATGTGGATGATTATGTGGAAGGCACTGGGAACATCCGGGAGGCCAAAATCACGCTCGCCGACGTAAAAGTTGGCGTCGGATCTCACGTACTAATGGGGAAGGAACGACAACACCCCTTTGTATAAAACGTGCACAACACTTACGAGACGGAAGTAGTAAACACGAAATAATCAGTGAATCAATGAATGTGGAGGGTTGTGTAGAAGGCACTGGGAACATTCGGAAGGCCAAAATCCCACACGCCGACGTGAAGGTTGGTGTCGGATCTCATGTACTAGCTGGGAAGGAACGCCATGACCTCGTTGGATAAAAAATGCACAACACTTTCGAGACCGTAGTAGATGACGCGCTCTTAAACACTACACAATCAGTCTATCAACCAATGTGGACGATTGTGTGGAAGGCACTGTGAACATCCGGAAGGCCAAAATTCCACACGCCGACGTGAAGGGTGGCACCGGATCTCACGTGCTAGCGAGGGAGGAACGCCCTCACCTCGTTGGATAAAACGTGCACAACACATTTGAGACCGTAGTAGTTTACAGTCTCTTAAACATAAAATAATCAATCAATTGTAAGCCGCTTGTGGTGCGTTGTCTGCAGGCGCGGCGCACGGGCTGAGCGGGATCCTGCAGATGATCCTGTCGGTGCCCGAGTCGCTGCGCCGCGACCCCAAGATCGAGCACGACGTGCGGGCGAGCGTCGACTACGTCCTGAGCCTGCAGACGCCCGCGGGCAACTTCCCGCCCATGGCTGGTGACTCGCAGCGGCGCGGCGCGGCCGACCCCGACGACCTGGTGCAGTGGTGCCACGGCGCCGCCGGTAATGCGGTGTAAAGAGTGACTTCGATGGTGTAACGTGTAGTGAATCTATAGAACGCTATTTCCGCAACAGTGTATGCACACGTGAAAGGCCGCGATTGTTTGTAATGCCCATTTAATTCAGCGGCGGACCCTTCAGACCTGGTAGAGTGGTGCCACGGCGCCGCCGGTAATGCGGTGTAAACGATTACTTGGATGGTGTAACGAGTCACGAATCTATAACTCAATGTTCCCTCAAAAGCGTATGCACACGTGAATGCCCGCGATCGTTTATAACGTCCATTTAAATCAGCGGCGGATTCCGCCGACCTGATGCAGTGGTGCCACGGCGCCACCGGTAATCTAGTGTAAACGGTGACTTCGATGGTGTAACGTGTAGTGAATCTATAGAACTAAATATTCCCACAACAGCGTATGCACACGTTTCTTTTATTTCCTTTTTAATTGAGGGTTCAAGAATAACACATCCCCATTTGAAACTAAATAATAATGGTAAAGAAAACATTTTATTTTTATAATACCGGTATATTATACTATTTTACATTAAAATAATATTTTAATGATTATTTTTACTTCGTTCGTAGTGAACTTCTTGCGTAGTAAAGATAATGACTCTTCACAATTTGTCACAAACTGTTTTGTCCAGTACGTAGTCCACTTAATGCAGATTATGACCTTAAACATTGAAATGTGATTATATTGCATGCTATTAGCAGAATTCGAGTGTGATCGTAATTTCAAAGTAATTTGTAAACTAAAAAAAAAATCAGACGGTTTAATTAAATTTCAAATTCTTTGTAAAGGTGTCTGCGTCTACCTTTACACCCGTTACCTTACATATTTAATAATATTGTATACACTCATTAACTCGCCTGTTCAATGCTTCTTTATGCACCGGGACATTTGCAAATATTGTAAAGATAAGATTAAGCCGCTCTTCGACAAAGGCCACAATAATGACTTTAAAAATTATCGGCCAATGGCTTTTTAGCTGTTTTTTCAAGTATATTAAAGATGTCTTTTTTACTTACGAATATTAAATTTTGTTAATAAATACTCTGCGTTTTCTCAATGCCAACATAGATTTAGGAAATTTTTCATATTTTTCGACTTCTAATAATCTAAAGTTATATCCCAAACTGATTACCATTACTCCCTTACGGTTATTATCACGGCAAACTATTACGTCGTACGCTCATAAATGAATTTCCATCGAGACCCACATTCATAGCAAATGTATCATTCATCAAAGGTGCCTACAGTAAGGAAGTGTCTCTCCCTCTTTCTATCCCTATCTCTCTCTTCAGTTGCCAATTTTTTGCGACGTTTTAATGCTTTTTGACAATTTCAATTATTTTCTCCTTTTCAGGCATTGTTTACTTGATGGCGAAAGCGTATTTGCAATGGCGGGATGAAAAATATTTGCAATCGTGTTTCAAGTGCGGAGAAATAATTTGGAACAACGGCCTGCTTAAGAAAGGACCAGGTAACCAGTTACAAACTCTTTATGACACAGTGTGATATATTTAATCGTAGTGAATGAAACAGAAAAGCGTCCACAGTGTCCTCAATAGTGATAAAAAATAATAAATAATAAAATAATAAATAACAAAAAATAAAAAATAAATGCGACAGCCGTCGCCTGTGCCGAGGAGGCTGCAGGTTCGAGTCCTGCGTAGACATGGTTGTATTTGTGATTGTCCCCTTTCACTATCTCAGTGCGTCATCCTTCATCTCACATTCGCACTTCAAGGCTCCTCTAGGCCGTAACAACCTTGTTGTAATCCAAGGATACAGGCTGAAAAGATGATCTGGAAGAATTACACACGTTAATCTAGTGTAGCGTGGTCAGTAATGGCCTATACGCCAATTTATGTATATATATATATATATAATATAATATATATATATATAAAGTCATGTATTTACAATGTTACATGCTTGTTACTTGCAAACTTAATTATAGAGAAAACCTTTATTTTCTATTGCCAAAAAGAGCAATTTTTTGTAAAAATAATGCTTTTGCGCGCATTTTCTTCCATCTTAAATTTTTTAATCTTTTTCCTCCTCTTTCTTCTCATTCACTTTCTTATTCCTCCTCTTTGTGTTGTTTTTCTTCCTTTTTGTCTATCTTTTCTACTTTCTTTTTGTCAACTCATCTTCTTTCTTTTCTGTTTTCCTTTTCCCTGCTCTTCATGATATATCATCTTCTTTTGCGTGACATGGATAATTTAAATTTAAAACACGCCTTTCTAGAAATGCATATTCAACTTCTAGAAACAGGAAAAATTTCCAAAAATCGATATATGCCAATTTTAGCAAGCAAGGTCGAAAGCGCGATGCGGAATATTTTCTTTACAACATAAAAAAAATTTAAATGCGTCGGAATGCATTTCACTGTGTTTGAATGTGCTGATCCGTTATTGCGTGTGCATGATACCTCATGGACGACACATGAAGATCTTTCTGTCGTAAGATTGCATAGGCACCAAATTGAATATTGTCATTATCGGAAGGCAGATTGTCACGTGCGACTTCTTGTAGCTGCCAACCACTCTGATGCGTTACACATCAAACAGGAGTAAATGTTACTTAACTGAACTTTCCGACCATCTGTGCGTTGGCAAATAGTGACTTCATCTTCGACTGTCCTTGCTAATCTGCACGTTTGGGAGTCGTGACATGTATTGTTAACCGTCTGTAGAATTATTCTGCCTCTGCTTACTGCGGAAAGACAGACCCGATTTACGCTCTTCCGTTTGACGAACGAATTTCGAGTTTTAGCAAACGCAGGCATGCGCAGATTGGCTCTGCCGCCCCAAAGCCACTCTGCGCATGCCTGCATTTGTTAAAATCTGGAATTGTTCGAGCGTGTAAATCGACTCCACAGCCCGTTTTACATGGCCATTTTTTCATCATTTTTCTGTGCAGAAAATGGATGGAAAAGGAACGTTTGTTTCTACGCGGTACTGTTTCGGGATGAACGAGATCCAACGTTTTACACAGCCATTTCGTTTCTACAAGCAATTATGATGAAAATGTTTTTTCTGGACGTCGGTAAAAGCGCTGAAGTTTAAACAGTTGGTCATCGCATCCATGATAACAAATTATGTGAGGTTATTTACCGTAGTTCACGCATGCAAATCAAAGAATGCAGAACTTTGTTTTCGGCTGCTTCGGAAGCTGCAAGCTCTGAGGATGAACCTTATGCGATCGAAACGATCATAAGCTGAATACAAAGTATTGATACCAGACAACATCTTTATTTATTTATCAAAGCAAATTAATGTTTCCGAAAGTGTTGTCAGAGGCGAAGTTGTCAAACTGGACGAAATCTGTAACAAAACATGAATAAGGTATAATTTTGTTGCACAATTTACATCTCATCTGATCAGTAACATTTCTTATTTTTCTTCTTCTTCTTCTTCTTCGTCGTCGTCGTCGTCGTTTTCCCGTTACGAGATTACCACTTTCACCCACCACAACTCTAGGTCTTCCTTATTTTCTGGTTTGATGCCTCTATCCTGCATAGCTTCCAGTACATATTTTTCCTATTCTAAAACTGTTTTTTTCTGCCTTTTCTTCTTTCTTTTCTTCTTCTTCTTCTTCTTCTTTTTCTTCTTCTTCTCCTCTTAGGTAGTTGTCACTGTCAAGATCTTGCGTGGCTATCTGTTTTCCATGATACTCTGAACGTGTCCGTACCATTGAAATGCTCTATTTTCGTAGGACTTCGTAATATAACAAATTCTATTCATCCTTCTCCATAGTTCATTTTGCATTCAGTCCCTGCGAATAAGTTGTAGGCACCGTCTCATGATGTCCATTTCTACTGTCATAATCTTTTCTGCTATTTTGTGTGTTGGTGGTCATATTTCCGCTCCGTGTAGTGCTACATACTTCTACCGTATAGTGGAATATCCTTCTTTGGACATATTGGCGTGTATTGTTATTTCGTAAAGCCCAGTTCTTATTTTGTATGCCGTGTAAATCTTTATCTGCTCTTTCCCTCACTTTTTCTCTGGATTTAATATGTGACACACATGTACCACTCACTTTTCTATATCGATAAAATAGCTATGAAAATTTTATCGTGTAAAACAAGCCATACCTACCTTTATGACGACCTCTATGAGCGTCAGGAGTGGTGACTCAGAGCCATATCTGAGCTCACGTCAGTGCCTCTGACCGGGAGGTCCTAGATTCGATACCCGCGATGGCAGAATTTGCTAGCTAGCTTGTCTAGTAACTAGCTTGTCCGGTAAATCGAATTCAGTCGCGGTCTGGAGGAGGATTTCGGCGGCCGACTGCTCTGATCGGTAGTTTTTCTCCTATCAGTCCCAGGTGAATGCCGCAGCAGTACCACAATGAACAGGCAACAGACCTCACGCGATATTTTATTCTCCTTCCTTATCCTATACTCACCCCTTACTTACACACACACACACACACTCTAACATGCACTACACTACCACATATACCGGGAGACCATTTGGGTGCTTAAGAGATTCATATGACTTGGGCGATGTCCCGCTAATGGACAAAAACCAGTTGCCGCTGGTAAATCGGCGCCGGATTTCACCGTCGAGCTGGGAAAGATTATCACCAGCACCACAATATATATATGAAAAAACATGCACTAAACTAACGGGAATAGCGACCAGAGAATTATACGCGTTGGGAATCTACGCAATCTTCTGTACCAAGCGAAAACACACATGCTGTATACTATGTTTTCAATCTTCCTTAATGGGAAGAATTGTAAGATTGTAGTTGGAAGTACGTGTGTAATTCACCTAAAATATTGATGTTATTCTCTTTTATCTCGTTTGTTAATTAGTTGCGCGTATGAACAAAATATGTACTAAACTTACGGGAATATGGAAAACGATGTGGAATATACACTAAACTTACGGGAATATGGCGGCCGGGGAAATATGCGCTAAACTTGCGGAATAGGGTGAAAGGGGAACATACACTAAACTTACGGAATAGGACGAATGGAGGGGCATGCACTAAACTTACGGGAATAGCGACCACGATCATTATACGCGTCCGGAATCAACGACCTCTAGGGCGCTCGCGCTCGCGTTGCAGGTCTATGCCACGGCGTGTCGGGCAACGGCTACGTGATGCTGTTGCTGTTCCGCCTGACGCGAGACCGCAAGTTCCTGCACCGCGCGCAGGAGATGGCGCGCTTCATGTTCACGCGCAAGTTCGACAAGGAGGCGCGCGTGCCGGACAATCCGTTCAGCCTGTTCGAGGGGTGGGCGGGCGCAGCGTGCTTCCTGGCCGACCTCACGCGGGCGAGCGAAGCCGCTTTCCCGTTCTTCGACATCTTCTGAGACCCTCCTGAGGGATCGACTCTACCAGGCGACGACGCACATGCTGTATTCAATCTCCCTTTAGGGGAAGAAATGTAAGATTGTAGGTGAAAGTACATGTCTAATTTACTTAAAATATTGATGTTCTTCTCTTTTATCTCGTTTATTAATTAGTTGTAAGAAATGTAAGATTGTAGTTCAAAGTACGTGTATAATTTACCTAAAATATTGATGTTATTCTCGTCTATCTCGTTTATTCATTAATTGTAAGGAAATGTATGATTGTAGTTTCAAGAACATGAATAATTCATATAAAATATTGATGCTGTTAAGGCATCGAAATGCTTTGTTTTATGTTCGTGAGGGTGGGTGGGGTTGAAGAGCTCAAATCTTTTTACTTAACGACTTTCTGAAAACTGCCATCCTCGTTCTTTCAATACAGAATTCGCAAGCCGCAATTCGAGAATCGGGTTGAGTACTTGGTTTGGTTCGAGCAGGGCTACGGCGTGCTCTGGAAGCTAAGGTTCGAAGCGTTTATTCTTTGGACCAAAGTTTTGTTTTTTCTCTGAACTGAAGTTTACATATTTTGAAGACAATTAAACTATCTGGGAGGGGTGACTTTCGAAATACACACACTTACGTCTCAATTTATATCTAAGAAAAGTTATAATTATTTTTATTTGATATTAGGCGTCCAGTTTTAATTATATTCGGTGTCTATGCGTAATTTTATGAAATAATAAATTGTACGTTTCTTAATCAATTGTATCAAATAAGTCTCTAGTTTGAAATACATGGATAATTTACCTAGAATATAGACGCTTTTCTCTTTTATCTCGTTTCTTAAATATTATATTACAAAGATTATGCAAGAATTGATTGCTGGTTAACTGAAGCAAAATCATTTAAATTGTTAACGTTTTGGCATTTAAAAAGCTTTTATAAGGACTACAATAATAAACTAATTGTACAATATAGAGAACTACCGCAGCCACTGTTGTCAACCATGTAACATCAGTATAAAAACAAAAGTAACAATATTTTTCCCTATAATAATTGTTGATATTAGCAATTGTATAATAGTAGAGACTTTCTAATTTTTACTTTTATCACAATATCTAACATATTGACTTATACAATGAATTAAATAAACACACGTAATATGAAACAAAGTTCTTAGCATATTACACTAGAGTTTGTATTTTCTCCACGTGTTGTGACATTCGTGGATCGGCGGGTTGTTTTATAGCACACATTATTCAAATTATTAGATTATTTTATTCACTTGTAAAATAATGTATCAACTTGAGTCCTATAGTCTGAGAAAATAATAAAATATTTGTAATATATCCAGAAGTAATATTGTTAGTAAAATATTGGCACATTTATGGAAATTGAACAAAAACCGCATGAAGTTTACAGAATGCTTGTTATGTTTATATCTTTGTGACACTTTTGGAAACTTAAACTAAAATTTTTAGAAAGAACATTTTTATTTTGATATAGTTTTTAAATAACTATGTCTTCAATTACAGTTCTGATTGAAATGAGAGAATGTGATGTGTCATAGGACTGGTATGATTTATATTGTTATAACGTATATAGAAAGTGACAATCATTTCTAAATCTCAGCGAATAATCTCATTAAAATTCTCTATTGATACATCAGCATTTTGCCAATCAGTACTTTAAATCGCCAATCGTACAACTTGATATATTCAATTTTTTCAGAAATATGGCTCACAATGGAGATTAAAATTTAATTACATTACCCGTGATTTGCGAATCATGAAATTCCTAATGTATTAAAAATGAGTTTTGATTCGTAAGTCACATTTAATGTTGATGAGAGAGGATGACTAACATCAATGATGTAAAATGATTTTCATGATATTGACCCATGATTAGATTTTACTATTAGTGACAGTACGGAACCTTGATGGGTATTGAACGTTGATGTTCTTGCAAATAAAATATTAATTATTAAATTATTATTGACTATCATTTTATTTTTGAAAGGAACCTCCCAAAACAAACGTTTTAGAAAAATTGAAGGTAAGATTTGGAAATTCCAGGTAAGAATCAAAGCACTCATTGTATTTTTTTATCATACAAGTGATTGTCTTTGTCGCCGCGAGTCAGTATAAGTGGCTCAGCGCCAGTATCCCGACAGTGGCAGGGTTTTCGACACTTTAGTTACGACACGATAGTTAGGTTGTGTTCTGTTACTGTCTTGAAGATAATTCTAACGGCCGGCTGCTCTGATCGGTAGTTTTCCGTGGTTTGTCAGATCAATACCAGGCGAATGTCGGAGCACACCCTACTAAACGGACGACGAACCGCGCGCGATCTTTCCTTCCCATTCCTAGTCCTATCTTACGCCTTATTTACACACCTTCACACTTATATGAACTACACTATCACGGATCCCGGGAGACCGGTCGGGAGCTAAGAGCTTGTCCCAGCTGGGGCGGTGCATCTCTGGGAGAGATACCTAGTTGGGGAAGCCGCACTAGCCGACGGCAGGTACGCGACGGATCTCGCCATTCAGCGGGCCAAGATTACCACTAACTCCCGAGCAAAAATAATTCACTACACTTACGGGAATAATGACATTAGAGTTTGACGTACCTGGAATAACTAGTAATGAATCCAAGCTCTCGTGATATTATCTTTGATTATGCAAGTGATTGTCTTTGTTTTCAACGTTTTCACTCTATTATACCTTGGACGCGCGATCGTGTATTTCAGTTACTTGCTTTACACGAGATGAATGGCCGATGGAAGTATTTACAGCAGCCCAGGTCTGTGCACCTGAGCCTTTAATCAAGGCAGGGGAGCCCCACACGTAGCTTATGATAAAATACGACTCATATACATATCACTGGGCTGGATTTAGGTTGTACAGCCCTCACCCCCGAACATCGACCGGGATGTATCTCAACTTTGTCATCGCTTAATATCACGTGACTTAATCCAGGTCTAGTCGGGCTTCGTTGCAACCAATACAGACAGACATTAATGTGGGTACTCAAATATTGATCTTACATCTACTTTTTTTTAGATTTTTTGAAATGTTTTCCTCTTAAAGCAGCGCTTTTGAACTTGTTTATTCTCCTGAACCTAATGTGTGATTTAAAATATTTTATGAAATAAATGAACAAATTAAAAAACTACTGCAATGATACTTAAACACCCTTTTTTAATTAGTATTTTAAAAATGTTTAAAAAATATAACAAAACTTTTCGCAATTTTAAACTTGTTGGAAATAAATTCAAAAGAGTAATGAAATAGAAGGATTGGTTAAATTCTGTTTTTAATGAAAGTGGGTATTTTGGGGATAAATACACTACTAAGTATGTAAGTATATGTATGTCTGTGTGTGTGTCTGTGTGCGCGACAGCCCACTAACGGGCCAAGGCATACCAGCAGCGTCCCGGCCACGTGGCATGGCCTAAGGGGTACGTGTGGTAAGCACAGAGACAAGCCTACGCTGTATTTATGGTATTCTCAACATGAGAAGTGATTTTTCTCGACGTCACACAGAAACATATATTGGAACATTGCAAGAAAAGCGCACACTACAATCTTGCCCGACCGGGAATAGAATCGGAGCTCGCGTCATGGACAGCGAGTACGCTCACCAATGAACAAAATGGTGAGGGATACATGTAGTTTTTCGATATAAAAATAGGTGTGCAAATCGGAATACTATAGAAATAATATAATTTATTCTTCTCTCTTTTTTGAAACCTCTAACTTACATTTCTATTTTAATGATTTCAATAAAATATGTTCTAATTTATGAAAGATTTCGAAGCAAGAAATGTGTAATACTAACATTATAAAATTTTCACAATTCCTTCGAACAAATATACGTCGATTGTGTTGTGAAAATATATGTCAAACGATTACGATTGCGTTCTAATGAATGTAAATAACAACGCCAACTATGCAAATCAAAGAAGTTTCTTGGATTTACTGAGTGAAATTTACTATAAATTTTATTTATCAAAAAGATTTAATGCTTTTCACAATATAAACTTCGCCTAGTTTTCAATTTTTACTTTCAAGCTTCGGAGTGGGGAAAAAGTTATGTATCACTGCGCGAGAAAACGGCGAATTTTCAGCATAAAATCTCTTCTTACAGGGCGCTGGTACCTAAAGAGTGGATACATGTCCTTGCTAAATTTAGAAAAAAATCCTCTTTCACGTGATGTCGCGGCTCCTCGAATTTGTGTACTTTAATTGAAGCCTCTGTGAAAACTACCATATTTTCGAAAAAAAGGCTCCATCATTTTTTTATTAAATTTTGTTATGTAAAGGACATTTAAGAAAATGGCGCATGCCTCACATTCTTTAAAAACACTAATTTATCGAAAATTGAAAAACTTCAACATTTTTTATCTTCCTACAACTAAAATATTAATGCTTGCTCTAACAATTAAAGATTGAAATGCTTACTTTAATGAAAAATCTGTTCCTTAAAGATAGATTTTGAAATAAAGTCACGTATAATATTTTAAAAGTTAAAGCACTTTTCGGGTAATTTTGTATGAAAATACGAGCAAGAAAATTCGTGCTGTTTTAACACCTCTGGTTCACAGAATTGAGCAGAAATATTTAATTACTTTGCCCAAAGTTTCAAAATCAATTACTCCTGTGTTTCATTTCATTATAAAATTTGAAATAAGGTTTTAGGATGTAAAACCCGTTTTACACGGTATTTTCAGTCCCTTTTAGTAGAGAAATAGATTGTTTTTCTTCCGTTTTTATCTCGTTTCTGAAACTATTTAGTTATGCTTAGCGGATTTAGTTGCGAATCTTGAAAATTTACTTGCAAATTTCGAAACTTATTCCAAGATATACGAGAGCATCTTTTAGCACAGGCTTATGAGAACACTCCTACCAAACGCAGATCGAGAAAATAGGTTGACCTGTAGAATATGCATGAGAAAAAGTGAAGGAAGTATTGACGTGAGGTGTAATGGAAAGCAAATCAATATCGACTACCGGTAGTCGCCCGAACATCAGAAGCTTCGATGCTCTGAGGCCACGGTTGTCCCATAGATTACGCTGCGCTGTGAAGCGAGGAGGGGCGATTCAAATGGAGATTGGGGATAGGCGCCTATTACCACCTGCACGAGACGCTTCATTGTAAACGCGACAGCGGTAGAGAGAACACAAGGGTAAAAATAAGCGCTGTTTGTCATTGTGTAGACCATTCAATCTTATACACTATGTGATTAAAAATAACCGGACAAGTCCAAAATGGTGTTATGGCGTGGTCGTGTTTTCCATGGAAGGAGCTTGCATCCCTTATGTTTTGTTTAGCACTATCACGGCACAGGCCTACGTTGATGTGTTAAACGCCTCCTTAATTTCCACTGTTGAAGCGCAATTTGAGGATGGCGATTGCATCTTCAAACAGGATCGAAGAGCGCAGGTCTGTGGCGGAGTGGTTACACGACAATAACATCCCTGTAATGGACTAGCCTGCACAGAGTCCTGACTTGAATTCTACCGAACACCTTTGGGATGTTTTTAAACGCCAACTTCGTGCCAGACCTCACCGATCTACTTCCATATCTCTCCTCAGTGCATCACTTCGGGAAGAATGGGCTGCCATTCCCAAAGAAATCCTCCAGCCCTTGATTGAAAGTATAACTGCGAGAGTGGAAGCTGTCATTAAGGTCAACACCCTATTGATTCCCATTGTACCTATGGAGGGCACCACGAACCGGTAAGTCGTTTTCAACCGAATGTTCGGATACTTTTGATAACATAGTGTAAATCTCCAATTTTCTGATATCTCGCATTTGTTATGTTCAGAACTTCTTAATAAATTGTTTTTTATCATAATGGACTCAATAAAAACACTTACATAAAAGATCAATCAATTGCTCTATCGGGTAGAGGGAGGGCTATCATTGTAGAGTCTAGTTGAATTGAGGTTTTCGTATAAGGTTCATGTAACAACTTGGTATACGTTATATTAAAATTTATTTTTGTGGCTATTAAAATGTATTTTAATTGATATATTGAATTTCTTTTTTATACCATAAATCATTAATAATAATGATATTTGTGAACATGTTTCATCGGATTCTTAGAGAATGTGCCTAAAGACTCATGACTTAGTGCTCCCCACTTAGATTTAGTCACTGTTCTCGGTATCAATCACACGTGGCTTAAATATACAGTTATCAGAATTAAGTAACTTGAACCGTGTAATGACGTGTTCAATAACTCATTTTTAAAATTGTTAGTTTGCAGATTCACGGCATCAATTATTGATTTATTGCCTCGAAATATGATGAATCTTTGGATTTCGAAACTCTGGAAATTGAATAAGTCTGACTTGTAGAATATTTCATCATTATCATTTCTACTTGGTGCATTTAAAATGTATGAAGAAACTAAATGGACTGCAAAGAAAGTTCGAAATAGCAATAATTAATTATTGTTATTGAAGTAAAGTTATGTAGTTTACAATTCAGTGGAGAGACATATCTGTTGAATTAAAATTTGAAAACGAATAAGCAAATATAGTTGAGATTTGCTTTGTAAATTATTTAGTAACTCATTTTCATGATTTAGAACGGTAGATGCTTATTTTGTACAAGAGAAAATATGAGACAAGAAAAATATGAAACGAGATAAAAAGTTTAGTGTATTTTTTTACACATTATTTTTTATTGCTTAGCTCGGTTACTGACTTTGAAATTTGAAACTCGTAGTCGGCTTGTTAAAATGAATTCACTGCTGCTTAAATGAGAAAAATTAAGCGCTCTTTACAATTCAACGAAAATGAATTTTCGTTCAGAATATTGTCAGATCGTGCACGAATGTCTACTTCAGTGATATCAGGGAAATTCAAATGATTTTCAATCATAATCAAATGAATTTTGTGAGTTGTTAAATTGTTTTTTGTTATTTAAGGTCGCAACAACATCTAGGTCATTAGCGAATACTATTGTATTTAACGGCATGGTAACTGTGAATATGACAGGATATGGTGTTCATGGGGGGTGAAAGGGTGAACACAAATACAACCGTGCCCGAGGGGAGGCTCAAACTCACGATTATTCGGTCCAGGATCGCTACGACACTACTGCTTTAACGATCTGGACCATCCAGACCGCGGTTGTAATATGCATTAATTCACATCAGTTTATTCACGTCAGCCTGCAATTGAATGCTGTATGCAATTTGCCATACAATTAAGTTTCAAGGGCTGCGTTCTTATAGGTAAGTAGGCGTAGGAATACTTATGGATACGCAAGTAGATCTTTAAATAGGTTCGGAACAATTGATTTATTTCACGGATAATTTCCGTTCACCCTTTATGATCATAAACAGTCCGATTCACAATCTGTTTGGTCAACTACGCTAAACATTTGTAATTCTCACTGTTTTGGAGCCCATATTGCGACAAGAGCATGTTCAATGTCTCCTTTGTAAATAAATATTCGTAAAGACAAATGTAAGCGTTCCAGTATTAAAGGGGATACGGCCTAAGAAGGAGTCTTTTATTTAACCCTTCAGCACAATCTACTCGCTAGGTGGACTCCGAGAAATTTTACGTTGATTTTTCTTTGAAGTTTACCTCCGAACGTGTACTTAGCACTCCAACTTCTCTTCAAAGAGGACTGTCCATAAATTGTTTTCATTGCCTATGTTGGTAATAACGCAAACTAAACCATCATACTTTATTCACGAGATTTTCATCTTTGAAATTTTTTAATTAATCCACGAACGAAGTCCTGGCTTAGTGACAAGGGAACTATATACTAGAGTAAACCAATTAAGTTTCGTTTCTGTCGAGAAGGGTAGTTTTTATTGGGTCTCTGAACGGCGTCTTCCCTCGCTTAATGAAGTTTGGTAGTTCGGCAGCCGCTTGCCTGGTATGTTTATGTTCGAATTTTGGCTATCGACTGCGTACAGCCTGGCTAGAAATGAAATGGACTGGCGTCTCTTGGACTAGCGAGGACAAACCGAAGCAAAAGGGTTAAACGATGCAAAATGAAAAGAGAAATGAAACGAAGTTTACATGAAAGAATAGTATGGCATTGATAAGTATATTATCATAAAATATATTTATGAGCGAATACTACTAAGACAATTCCGACACTAATTTCTGAAAACTTTACACGTCTAAATAATTAATGCATAAAAATGTTATAGTTCTCCTGACAGCATTTAACTAAATTTATCTAATTTGGTAATTTTAAAGAAAAAAAAATATTATTTACTTCAATTAATTTTTGATTTAAAATAAAACTAAAAACTCGACATTTCAATCGTTACTTTTATATCCAAACAAAGGGATACAAAATAAAGAATTCTTTATATACGAAAGTACTAATGTGTAACACTGGGAAATATGGAAAATTTCATAAGGAATAACTAGTAACAAGAAGAAAAGACCAATGAAATAATAAGAAAAGGTGGATTAGTTATAAAAACTGTTTGGAGGATATACAATAAACGATTTAATACTAACGAGATCAGAGGGATTAAAAGTTTAAAAAGTCTGGAGGGGAACATTTTGATGCGGAAAGCAGAGATGGGAGGATGAAAAGAAACAAGGAAGGTGGAAGGATATCAAGATAGATGTAAAATAAAATTGTATTTGCGAATGAAAAGGAGTTAGCGCGGTTAAACGGAGAGAATGGAGGCAAATGAAAGGAAAATGAGAGAGAAGGCAGGGAGGTGGGCGATGAGATATGGGGAGTTTTTGGCTGAGAAGAGACACAAGATGGATTGAGAACAAGTAAAAACAATCTGCGATCTAGAACGTGGTCAGTATTGGAAGAAAATTATTTCTTCCAATCATGGACTGAATTGGATCTAGCTGTATAGCTAATGTTGAATATCCTACTACAACCGGGATTCGAACCCGAAGATTTCCCGGTCAGAGGGACTGCAGTGACATCAATTTTTACCCTGAGCCACCTAAGCTGAATTAATGTATTGTAAGGCGGATCCACACATGCGGCGTTCGGCGAATCCCTAGCAACCGCTCGCCGAATCCCGAGTGGTGTGGACGGGTTGCTTACAATTCGCCGAGCACCTAACATTCGGTATTCGCCCTACCCAACGCGTGTCGGGTCTTTAGGACACATCAAAGGGAGCGAACATTCGCCGAACACATCAATGTTCGTGTTTGGGCGAGCAGTAGCTTGCAGCTCGGAGAATGCCGAATGTGTGGAGCCGTCTTCACGATGCTTATTTCGTAAATAACTATAAAAAATATGCATGAAGATTCAATATTACGGTTCACGAATGTTGTCTAACCGACGTCAAACAAAGTACGTCATTAGCTCTATATACCAGTGAATGTTCCAAGCATCACAAGCGCACTCTTGAGGCATTCGTGGAAACCAGTGCTCATCAATTAGCAGCCACATAAATTTACCGCTAGGATGCGCGCTTTATTCCTGACAGACGTAAATTCTGTGTATTCAAGTCGGCTGATCACAGGAACTACCAAGAAACGCGTTGAGTGCGGCATGTGCGAAATTGATTTTAATTTTACTGACGTTCGTAGTATTTAAAATGCATAGACTTTACGTCGAACGCCTTATCAGTGAATGTAACAAGAAGCCAATTTTGTGGGATCTGTGCAATGTACCATAGATAATAAGACCTTTCTGGTGGAAATATAATCACCACCGTGTTCTCCATACGATTAAGAAATTATTACTGACCCATTTTCTTAAAAGAAATTGCTTTTTTTCTGCACAACAAATTCATATCATTCATAATGATTCAAAACTTTAAAGTTACACTAAGTGATCAAAATTATCCGGACACGTCCAAAATAGGGTTATGGTGTGGTCGTGTTTTTCATGGAGGGGGCTTGCACGCCCTGTTGTTTTGTGTGGCACTATCACGGCACAGGCATACGTTGATGTTTTAAAACCCTTCTTGCTCCCCACTGTTGAAGAGCAATTCGGGGATGGCGATCGAATCTTTCAACACGATCGAGCACCTCACGGACTTACATCAATACCTCTCCTCAGTGCAGCACTCCGTGAAGAATGGGCTGTCATTCTCCAAGAAACCTTCCAGAACATGCTTGAAAGTGTCCCTGCGAGAGTGGAAGCCGTCGCTAAGGCTAAGGGTGGGCCAACACTCTATTGAATTCCATCATTGCAGATGGAAGGCGCCACGAACTGGTAAGCCATTTTCATTCAGGATACTTTTAACCATATAGTGTAGTTATAAGCAGGGGTCGAAATTTAATGATATTGCCAAACATGATTAATAAAATACTGTTTAATGTTTTTAAAATGCCCTATAAGCAAAGAAAAATGACGTAAAAAACGGGATTAAAACCAGTACGGATGTGTTACTCTAGCTTGATACGTTACTGATGTAATCGAGGCTTTTTCTATTCATTCAAGTGCATTCAGATTGCAAACGTTTGGTTTGGACTGTTCTTTACCAAGAAATCTCTGTCTTTAGTTATTCAAAAATCGGCTGAACCGCCAATGGTCCTGACATGCGTTGCAGGAACCTTAGATTATATACCACGGCTGACATGATAATTTCTGAATAAAGTAACCAAAAAGGTTACTCAATAGTTCTGTGGAGAACATTTGTTGCATCTCATAAATAATATACGAAGCAAGTATCATTGAAATGGTATTAAAATCGCTCAAACGTTGAAAAGTGCATTAAAATCACGGAAAAGGGTATATTACTTATTTGTTGAAATCTACGAAAAATGCAAAAAATGACATAAATATGTGTCATTTCCTTTCGTCATAAGATAAAATTAATTTCTGTACTAAACTGCATTTTTCTAAAGTGAAATGGAAAAAATAACATTTCAATTCGCTCCCTAGTTATAATTCATGCCAAATAGTTTAACGGATTAAGATGCTAATTTGTTAATTGACAAAATTAGGGTACAAATTACGACTGCTCAGACCACACAGTTACCCTGCGATCGTGATTTTTTTTAAGCTACCCGAACTTTAATCAATCATCCGGCTGTAAGTATTGAAGTGCACTGTTCGAAAATGTCACCTGTGACGTTTCGAGTCTACAACAGCTGAGTTATAAATACAGGTTGCGACGAAATTGAAAAAAATGACAATAACCCATTTTCTATGTTTCTGAGACTAACAGACAAAATCACAATTTAATACTAATATAATGGGGAATAAACTGGTGTGTATTGCAACTTAAATGCCTTACACTGAATAACCACAATAGCCACAGCACGATAGCATGCAGGTTTTCTACCATTCTAGTAAAGCTCTTGCAAAATTCTGAAAATATGAAGATGATTCTGAATGATGACTCTGAAAAATGTGTAAATTAAAATTTATAAAATTTCTGCACGAAGTAAGAATTATTTCCATTTTTATTGTTGGACAACTTACCAGTGTCAATAAATATATTCAATAATCAAGTTAGTTAATTCGTGCAACGTATCCATTGTAGACATTATTGTTCTCTTATAACAATTTTAATAAGTCCACTGCTAGATTTCATATTCTAGCTGAATTTGGCAGTCCAAATCAATTCACGATTACTTGAAATAAATATTTGATTTATTGATTTACAACGAGTGAATTTATTAATTTGTAATTACGTTAACTTTTGCTATTCAGTTACTTGTTTGTTTCAAAAATGTTTCAAATAATATTTAAAAGGTATGTGTTCTACCTTCGGAGAAAAATGCAGAGCTTTTCAGACTCTCCAAAAATTGCGTCTAGCAATGCTCTCATAGCTGACCATTGCTGTTTCATAAACCCAAAAATAAAAGAAAAAAACCTTATTAGGCAGTTTATTTCACTTTCAATGATTATCAATTCGATACTGTTATACAGAAGTTTCCTTTCTCAACTGTCTGTATAACCCAGGTCTTTGTGATTAGTTGTATTTTCACAACTAAGAAGAATACGTGTTACTCTAACGCTAGTGATCTAGTATTATCGTGATCCGTATAAATCATTTAATTGTTTGTAAACTGATGCTCTTTTTAACCCAGGTTATAATATCAATGAAATTAAATATTCGGTCTGATAAGACTGGAATAACATATTCAAATATAATAAATGAGTAACCATCAGTAAAATAAACTTTTATTGATGTTCTGTATATAGAAATACAAAAATGTACGCAAACCGCAATGCAATGATAGAATAGAACGGGGCTTGGATAGGGTAGGGCGTGATACGGCAGCATACAGCAGAACGGGTTTAGGCCGGAAGAGTCGGGGGGATCAACCAGACATAACGCGAAAAGAGGGAGAGGAGCGGAGCCATAAAAGAGCAAGGACGGGAGGGACCGACTGAATGAGACAGAACGCGAAAAGACAAAAAAATAGAGGAACGGGGTCGTAATGGGGCTAGGCCGGAGAAACGAGGGGTTCAACGGTAAATAACGCATCGGGTGGGAGAGGGGAGGAGCGGGGGAAGCCTAGGCTGAGGCAAATGATGGGACTGGGCAGGACAATACCGAGAGGGACAGAACGGAGTAGGTAGCAGCAAAGTAAAAATGTAAATAAAATTCCTTCTGCTTCATATAATAAATAAAATTTAAACCTTATCCTCTCAAATAGATTATTCACTTTCAACTCTGAATATTTCTCTACGTAGTCTACTCGGGGTTTCTCAGATAAAAGGTTTTAAAATTGTAGA